AAAAAAAAAAAAAAAAGTCACGATGGGGGTAAACACTGTACCCAATACCCTAAGGGAGAAAAGGAAGGTTCCCTAAGGCAAGTGAGAACCTCCTCCTTGGCCTCTCCCAAAACACACGTCCACCCTGAGGTCAGGAAATGAGGGGCAGCAAGAAGGATTTGCCAGGACTTTGGGCCTTCTAGCCACCTTATAACATCCCCCCAGACCACCGGAGGCTCGTCCTATAAGAATAATTGGTGCATGGGAGCACAAGCAAATGAGAAACCATTTTCTAAAAGAGCAAAGGAAGTTGAGAAGCAGTCCCAGGAATGCCCTGCTACAGCCCGCCCCCCCGCCCCCGGATATGACGATGCCAGGGTGCCCGTCGGAACCCCAGTGCCGGGAGGCAGTATCTCGCGTTGGTTCTGGGCTGTCTCACGGGCTTTACCACTCGCTAGCTGCAGAAAATTAGTGTTTCTGAAACTTGGTGTCCTCTTAACAAAAGGGTATCTGCCACTCAGGGTTGTTTTTGAGGATTTAATGAGGTAAGAGTGTAAAAGCACTTAATACAGTGACTGACATTCAGTACATCGTCAAGGAATGCTGTTAATTATTGTCTTGCTCATCTTCCAACTGCTCCCTGCGTGTCCCTTCCTGGGGCTTCTCAAGCACTTCGAGCTCACTCTCTGTCACTCTCTCGGGCTCTTCTCCCATGACTTGTTGTAGGACAAGTTACAGTCTCCTCAATTCCCTTCCTGGCTTCCCCTCAAACTAAGGCTGCAGACCTTTTTACATTCTTGTGTTGCTAACCACCACAAAGACCCGTTTAGAGGTCTGGCTCAGTCAGTCGGTGGAGTGTGTGACTCTTGATCTCCAGGTTCTGATTTCAAGCCCCATGTGGAGTATAGGGATTAACTTAAAAATAAAATCTTAAAAAAAAAAAAAAGACTCAATTAGAGGATAACAAAAATGCCATGAAGAGGTTATATTCTTTTTGAGGACCCATCCTTCCTGACTTTCTTGCCGCCGTGCAGAACCCCACACTGACTCTCAATGGGATGCGGCTGCTAGGCTAAGCTGCTTAGGAGCTGGATCACTCTCCTGGCCCGGCTGTTAGCACCGAAGCTCCCTTCCAGCCTTCCCCTTAGGTGGGCTCACCTGCCCTGAAGGGGGCCAGCTGGGCACAGATGCCTTCAGGCAAACGGTGCCCAGCAGAAACTTCCTTCCTATAATAGAAGTTCCAGAAACCCAAGAGGAGGATTTTTCCAGGGGAGCAGAAGCCCTGGCCGTGGCCTTTCCTGCTCTGCCCAGGGGGACAGCCACAGAGGGTAGCAGCCGCAGGTGCCCAAGCAGAAGGACAGGAGGACTCATTCAGGGACCATGGCCCCTTTAGGCTCTTGGGTCCAGAGGTTGTACCTGAAACCTCTTCATGTCCATGACTCGTTCCAGTGAGACAGAGCAGTCTGTCCAGTACACAGTCCATTCTTCGTCCTCCCCCACCTCCTTCAGGCCACACATTTGGGCTGCCCGACGCACTGCGGAGAGAGGGAGATCAGTGGGGCCAGCCGAGACACTGGCAGCAAGCCTTGGGATTGCAGCTGGGTCAGGTAAGGAAGAGGCTCGACCAGAGAGTGGGCTGAAGACGGAGGTGGTTCTTACCTCAGTGCAGCAGCTTAATTACCCTGTGACAATTCCAAGGTCATGGGGCTGTCAGGGCCCTTCTAAAATCTGTGACAGAGAAAACTAGAGCCTGGCTCCCTGCTCCTGTCAGTCCTCTGTCTCTCAATTGGGATGGTTTCTGACCTGCAGAGCCGACCCTCCGGAGGGGTCACACTGGCACCTCCCACACTGGGTGGCCCCGTGGCGGCCCCGTGGTGATGGCAGTGGGCACAGGAGGAGACGAAAAGATAGATGATCGGGCGCCTGGGTGGCTCAGTCGGTTAAGCGACTGCCTTTGGCTCAGGTCATGATCCTGGAGTCCCGGGATCGAGTCCCGCATCGGGCTCCCTGCTCGGCGGGGAGCCTGCTTCTCCCTCTGCCCCTCCCCCCTCTCATGTGCTCGCTCTCTCATTCTCTCTCTGTCAAATAATAAATAAAATCTTTAAAAAAAAAAAAAAGATAGATGATCTAGCTGGTCATTTTTTTCTTTTAATTCCTGAAGCCCCCTGAAGGGCTTCCTTGAAAAAAACCCGTATTGACCTGTTCTCATCTCAATTCTGGTAAAATCCGGGAAGGGCAGGGCAATGGTGACCTTCAGTCACTTTTTTTCTTGCTAGCTAACTGGGGGATTTCCACCCTACCACTAAGACTAAGTGGAACAGTGGTAACTCAGCTGCTAGTAGCTCAGTTATAGGCCAGCCCAACAAGATGCAGGGGCTGGGAGCCTGACTGCGGGACCATCCCCACAGCAAAACCTGCATGTGCCCTCTTACGCACAGTGGTGTGTGAGTGAGCTGGGTGCTTACCGCTCTCATACTTGCAGTTGGTCAGGTTGATGGCCAGGGGTCTGGAATGGAGGAATAATGGAAATCAGGCAGAGTGGGATAAAGGACAGACCCTGGGCTGCGAGGCACCCGACACATCTACAATGCAATTCATTTTCTCTGAAAGCCACTTAAAGACCAGGATGATAGAAATGTGCTGAAAATGCAAACCAAGCCAGCTCAAATGGTTCAGAATTTTGTGTTTTTGTACTACCAAAAGGTTAATGATGTTCCTGTATTCCCTGTCCTCTTTTGCAGATTAAAGGGAAGACCCCCCCAACTGCTGAAGGGAGGCCAAGGGGTGACTCTCTTCTGGAGCCAGGCAGGTGAGGGGGCCCAGGCACCTGTCTGTTACCTGCGTTTCCGCCTTCTCTTTCTCCTGCCAACTTCTAAGTCATCTGAGTCAGCTGGGGCTATGATTTTCTTCGGAATTTTCTTGGCTACAATAGATAAGGGAACTCCATCCCCAAATTCCTTATAGTCAGCCTTTGAGAGTTCCTGCTGAGGAGAGTCAGAAGGGATGGTAGCTTCCCCTTGAACACACTCCTCCTCAGATTCCTCTTCCTCAACGTAGTCTTCCTCCGATTCGCTGGTCTTACAGGTATTTGGCTCCATCCTCTTAGGTTCTGAGGAGAGAGGGGTGAGAGTGAAATATGTATCAGAGCTTCCTTCCTCCAGGCCCAGGAAGGCCTGCAGGAGTCCGTGCAAAGGACCTCCTTCATGGTGTTATAGGGGAACGTTGCTGCCCCCTCAGAACAGAACAATCCCGCTGCAGAATGGGATGGTTTCCAAGTAGGTAATGTGGGCCGGGGAATGCCTATGAAATGTTGGATTCGGGCACCTGGGTGGTTCAGTCGGTTAAGCGACTGCCTTCGGCTCAGGTCATGATCCTGGAGTCCCGGGATCGAGTCCCGCATCGGGCTCCCTGCTCAGCGGAGAGTCTGCTTCTCCCTCTGACCCTCCTCCCTCTCATGCTCTCTGTCTCTCATTCTCTCTCTCGCAAATAAATAAAATCTTAAAAAAAAAAAAAAAAGTTGGATTCCCCGACAATCCCTGATCATCCAAGATCACCCCTCCATACAACACGCTGGGGTGCACGTAGAAGCTGGACAGAGCTGGCAGGCACCATGACCATGGCTTTTTTATTCCTGAATGGGAAGGGGGATGGCTGGGCTCTGGGGGGACCTTCGATTTTAAAATAGAGCTGAAGACCAAAGGTCCCCTAAGCCAGCCCTTTCCCTGTCCCATGACTCAGTTTCTCCACGTGTACACACTGGCACTCGATGGCTAAGGCCCCTTGGGCTCTGCCGGCAGAGGGGGAGCCCCTGGCGGGCACTGCCCACCCGAGATTCCGAGGAGAGGGGAAGGGGCTGCTGGGTCCGCCCCTAGCGGTCCGAGGCTGGTCTCAGGTGGTCGCTCATGTCCACCCTTCGCCCGGCTCCTGCTCCTTCCCGGGCGTCGCTGGGCCTCCGGGACCGCCTCCTCGTTCCACAGGACTGGCTGTCCCCGCCGATCGCGAGGGGGAGCCCGCTCCCCCCCTTCCGGGGTTCGCTCCTAGCTCGGAGATCCCGGCGGCGGCGGCGCCTCCTTGAGCAAGCCAGCAGCCGCCGCCGCCGCCGCCGTCGCCATGGACACGAGGGCGGCCCCCATTGGAGAAGCGTTCTGGGGGCGGGGCCTTCCCGGAACCACACCCACTTGGGCGCGGGCCGAGGCCATCTTGCGCGCGGGCGGAAACGCCTGCCCTGGGGGTGGTGGCGTCGCGGTCCGGGCCGCGCCTCTGCGGCGGCTCTCGGGCTGCATCAGCCGGGACCTGTAGTCCCTCCGCGTTCGCGCCGCTTCGCACACGTCTCACCGCAGCCTGTGTCCATCGCGCGGGCCGGGCCCGGAATTTGGCCAAGTCTGCGTTCGGGACAAACACCTGCTTGCCTGCCTTCAGTGTTTCAGTGACCCGGGTTGAACACGCTGGGCGCTCGGGAGGGACAGCCGTGAACTGCGCTCGCCCTGCTGCGCTGAGTAACAGAACGGCCTCCTCATGGCGCTCCTTCACCGTCGCCTTCACTGCTCCTCCTGACGTCCTTACACTCTGACCACCGCACTCAGGCCAACTTGGCATTTTAAGACTATCCCGTGTGCCTAAATCTAGAGGACACTTTAAAATCTCCCCCCTTTAAAAACACGTGGGCACTGTTTGATTCATACATTTCTTGCTGTTTCTTCAGCATATATTCTTTTTTTTTTTATTCTTATGTTAATCCCCATATATTACATC